TCTTGAACCTCAATTATTCCAGAACTAGGGAAGCGTTTTCCCAAACAGAGATTGAATGAGGTTTGTTCTGGATATACATAAGATCAAAGTTGTTAGGCCAAAGCAAACCCAAGCCACCAACATTTCAGTTAGCAGCTTCCTCCGGGTGTCAAGCCCTGATGAGACAGCCTGATAAGACAACCAAGGTGACAGAACCCGCCCAGACTGGAAAGTCCCAAGCAGTGGCAAACTTCCTCTTGTGAAGCCCCCTCATACTAATTAAGTACAGACCCATGCTATCAGCTAATTGGACCCCACCATTTCCTTAGTGTCCCCACTTAGGTCCTCCACAAGACTATAAACCCTACTCTCCCCAGCCAGGCGATGCGACTTCTCAGGCCCCTCTCAGGGACCCGTGAACCTCGCCCAGGCCCCTCTCGGGGACCCGTAAACCTCACCCAGAAACTCAGAATAAAAACTTCTCTTTAACCTCACTTTTGTGCATCCTCTTCTCCTTACTGTGGCCTTACAAGAGTGTCTGAAATACATAAAAGAATTCATTAAATAGAGAATCAATAAAAGGGAAAAACTGAATCCTAATCACTCTTACAAATCCCAAAATCACAGTGACAATAGAAAGCTTTGCATAGGTTGAATCTTCAAGGGCTAACAGTTGATGGTAACGAAAAGCACTACTTATGGGAAGGTGGTACAATATATCGCTTATTTAATGGAATCAGTATTTCAAATTTGATCCAAATTTAACAAAAAAAATGTAACATTCTACTCTCAGAGCAACTTCAAGGAAAGGAAAACATGATGTGACTGTGGCTAGACATAGAGCAAAACAAAGCATTCATACAAATGCTCTGCCACCACAAGTTCAGCTTCTTGTTAGAAGTAATGCTGATTGAAAAATGCTTCAGGGATTAAAAGAAGATTATATTAATTGTTTATTATATCAAATTGATGGATCTTCTAATGTTGATGTCATTTACTTTATCAGCCATTTCTACTATTATAGAGAATAGGAGATTTCAAAAGTGCTAACAGGCAATAATAATAGACCTAAGAACTTTGTAGCAGAGGGAGGGCTGGAATAAGAAAGTCAATAGCTAATATAAAACTATAAGGTCCAATAGTTAACACAATCAGCTGCTAAACAAAAAGTGGAAAGTTTGAGTCCACCCAGAGGCTCCTCAGAAGAAAAGCCTGGCACTCTACTTCAAAAAATTCAGCCACTGAAAACTCTATGGAGAATAATTCTGATTATGCACAAATGCAGTCAAAATGAGTCTAAATCAGTTTGACTGCAATTGATGGTATTGAAGGATTCTATGGGCAAAATATTGAACAATGCAGAAAGCACCAAAAGAAGATTCTGTACCAATGCCATTGTACCAAAAAGAATGGGTTGATGTTCAACCATTTCAGGAGATAGCATATGATCAAGAACCAATGGTACTGAAGGAAGTCCAATGTGCATTAAAAGAACTGATAAAAACAAGGCTCCAGAAATTGATGGAACACCCACTGAAATGTTTCAACAAATGAATACTGTGCTAAAGACTCTCACTTGTTTATGCCAAGAAATTTGGAAGACATCTACCTGACCACAAACTGGAAGATATCCTTATTTGTGCTCACTGTAAAGAAAGGTGATCCAACAAAATGTGGAAATTATAGAACAATATCATTTTTTATCACACACAAGTAAAATTTTACTGAAGATAATTCAAAAATGATTGACAGGCAGAAATTTAAGCTGGATACAGAAGACGGC